GAGGCTTTATCCGTGGGGAGAGGCAGTCTGGGGGGAGGCTGTTTGGCTGGCCTGCGGCGTACACGTGTGAATACCCAGAGGACTTGCGAGGAACACAGCTGAAGGACTTCCACCTGAGCGAGCTGGCTTGCAACACGGTGCTGCTCCTTGTGACAGCTCTGATGCTGACACTGGTGCTGGTGGCTGTCGTGGCTTTCCTGTGCATCTACCTGGACGTGCCATGGTACGTGCGGATGACATGGCAGTGGACACAGACGAAGCGGAGAGCTTGGCACAACCACCCTGCAGAGCGGGAAACCGTTCTGCAGTTTCACGCCTTCGTTTCATACAGTGAGCGTGACGCGTTGTGGGTGAAGGACGAGCTGATCCCGAACCTGGAGAAGGGCGAGGGCTGCATACAACTGTGCCAGCATGAGAGAAACTTCATCCCCGGCAAGAGCATTGTGGAGAACATCATTAACTGCATTGAGAAGAGCTACAAGTCGATCTTTGTGCTCTCTCCCAACTTTGTGCAGAGCGAGTGGTGCCACTATGAGCTGTACTTTGCCCATCACAAGTTGTTCAGCGAGAATTCTGAGAGTTTAATCCTCATTTTACTGGAGCCGATCCCTCCCTACATTATCCCTGCCAGGTATCACAAGCTAAAGGCTCTGATGGCAAAGCGAACCTACCTGGAGTGGCCGAAGGAGAGGAGCAAGCGTGCCCTTTTCTGGGCTAACCTGAGGGCAGCTATTAACATTAACCTGCCAATATCTGTTGAAGCAGATGAGGAGCAGAGTGATGTTACTTCTACCAGTAATATAAGTCAGTATGTGAATAACTGACTTGACTGTCTTGCATATAATTTTGTTAATGAATTTTTTGTAGTCTTTTACGGTATTCCTAGTTAGTAGCAAAATGTAATTGTGATAGATACAGCAATTGCTGTTGCTTATTCCTGGTTAAGGGTTGAAAGTCAGAGCCATTAATCCTTATTTAACATTATTCTCCCTTCATTGTACTAATCATTCCCACTTGCCTAGATTTACCTACCAAGTCATGATTTCATAGAATTCAGTATTCTTTGTCTTCAAAATAATAATATCTGAATTTTTGAAATTTTTATAGTACGATACTGCTGCTTTTTGCCATGATCATATCAAGCTATATGGGGAGCTCATTTTCCCTGTTTTCTAAAAGATAGAAGCTTGATGTTTGGAGATGAATCCCCCTTTACTTTCAATGAACTCTTTTGCTTTGCCCTTCCAGTCATCATGCATGTGAGAAAAAGCAGTTTTCATTGGTGACTTCTCTGCTAAAATCAATCTGATTAAACTAATGGTATTTGTTGATAGGCAACATCTAATAATTGTGCTTGGGTTTAATTTGACAATCTAATAAACCTCTCATTGTTTCTCTGTTATTGAATTTGGTGGTTTCAATTCTCTGGTGATGTGGAGTTGTGTAATTATGGCTCAATGGAAATGCAAAGCCCTCTGATCACAGCCATGAGCAGCACATGTGGTGAGCAAGAAGGTGTGTTCCTTACCACTGACCAAGGTGGGTGATCAAGCACCTGCCAGGTGTGTGTCACAGTAGCTAGATGAAGCAGTGGACAGGAAGCTATGGGAGAGCCTCCTTGTGTACAGAGGTGCTGTGACATTGATGTGCACCCACCGACCAGCTCAGGTTAACTGGCTATCGCAGTACGATGCCAGGTGCCTTTATGTCAATGTAGAGCTTTGGAAAGATGGGATAAAATTCTCTATTAAGTCCTAATTTCAGGTGAAGGGAAGTTAGCTACTGACCTCTGTGATAACACATAACTGGGATCTCCCCATTCCCAAAGCCAGGACCAGGCTTTGTTTGTGTACTTTAAAAAGGGCTGCTAAGTCCTCAGTACTTCAGTGGTAGCTGGTGGATGTGGCATGCTTGAAAAGCAGGTTACTTATGGTGAGCGGGCGTGTTCAAAGACGCAGATAAGCCTAGTGCTTTGTAGGAGTTCAATTCAGGAAGGCTTTATCCTACCCTAAGAGTCACTTGTGCTTCATGGCAGACCAACATGGTGGCCAGGACCAGCTGACACCATGGGGTGCTGCTGAAAGTGCATTGCACACCTCATAGCCAGCCACCCAGTTATAGCAGGCTGCAAGGCTCTTTCCACAGATGTGGTAATGTTAAACCTGGGGCTGAGGCCTGAATGTGCTGCTGAAGCTTCAATGTTTCCTTCTTACTGTTTTTTCCCTCTGGGTGCAGGTTCTTCACTGTCTCTGTAACATGGCTGTCTACTCTTAGGCAGTTCCCTGGGTAAGCTCTGGTGGCTTCTTTATTTCAGCTACAGCCAGAGTGAGGTCTGTAATTTAAGGCTTGTGTGCTGTACGTCTCCCAGGTACCCAAGGAACAGTTTGTTCAGTCAGAGGCCAGTGCTCATAAGGCACATTAGGAGTTTTGTAGCCTTTACCTCTTCAGGGCTCCTCTGCTCTTTACAGTGAGAATGCTGCCAGAAGACCTGTCCCCCTCCTTTCTGAAAGACTCCTCCTCTCCCAAGCGTTACTCTCTAAGGACATGTTCAGCATTCACACTTAGTTGCAATGTGTTAATGGGAATACATTCTGTCCTGTTTACCAGATGAGAAAAGAGGAAGTAAAATTTCTCAAATCGGGCTTTCCAGTCTCTGTAAATGTAATGCATCAGCAAACAGGGTTTTATGTCCTAAATAATGTACAGGGTCTGGGCTGTGGAAAAATTCCTCGTCTTTAAGACTGTTCTGAAACCTAAGTTGTAGGTTGATGTGAAAGGAGTATTTTCTCAGGTCTGTCATCTATATTGTTTTAGGTCATTAACCCTGTTACACCCCTTTATATGCTGTCCTTCCTGTGTCTTCACAACTCTTTCATGCACATGCCAAGTATTTCAGTTATAGCCATACTGCACCGAACGCTGCAGCTGCTTAAAATACACTTCTGAGTTCCTCTGATAAAGCAGATTCAATCTGTTGGTTGTTGTTGGTTTGTTATTTTTCTCGTGAGTTCTCTGTTGGAACTTCCTTTTTCTCCTTCCCTGAAGCTGTTGCTGTTCAGAGGATACAGAAGTTGTTGTTGTCAAGTTGTTGAAGTTTTGTTGTGGCTGAACATAGCAAATGCTTTTTTTTGCTGTTTTCTGTGAAGCAGTGTGCTGTTAAAAGGATCTTTAAAAAACGTGTTCACAGAGATGCTGCTTGGGAAGCAGCTTGCACGAGTTACAGGACAGGAGCGTCTGGCTGAGCTCTTGTAACACTGTCATACTAATGTCCATACTTGTAAGAACCGTGTGAAGCGCTGCTCTTGCTGAGCTCACAGGCCTGGAAGCACACACTGTGCATTTACATTGTCAGTGTTTGGCGAGGCCAGAGTTTTAATTGTAGAGGGTATGTTAAAAGTGTGTTTATGGCTACAAATTGCAGTAAAGACGCAAAGAGCAGTTGTGAACGCTTGAGCAGATTTCCTGCAGGACGAGGATCTGACTCAGTGACAGAAGGTCAGGCAGAGGAACGGCTTTATTTCTTTACGAGAAAAGGAATGTTTCCTCATATTAGTGTCTCGAAGCTCAATTTTTGCATTTTTCTCAGGCTGAGGCTGACGCCCAGTGGCCGGTTGAAATATCGCGATTTCCTGAAAATAAATAGTCCCTCATGCAGGCACACGCACATCGGTCGCGTTTTGCTGCTGGGGAAAAAATGAAACAGCTGATCTTACCAGCCCGGCAGATTCAGGAGCCCCTGGTAGGTGTGCGCGGGCTAAGGAAGACAGGGCAAGATACGCTCTTCCTCATGGCAGCTCCACGCTGGGTCAGTGGCTCAGTCCCCCGCTTCATCTGTCCTGCTGGCTGAGTATGCTCTGGAGTGCAGATACCGACTGGTTCGCTGCCAAATGAACCCTGGAAATCAACAGCATGATGTGAACAGAGACTCTTGCTTTACAGGAAGCAAGCTTTATTTTCAAGCAGGATGCCAAGGAAGTCACACCAGCCATTTTCTCACATTCTGATTTCTGTTTGCAGGGGTTTGTTTTTATTGCCTCACTTCTGCTGTACCTGCTTTCCCTTCTGTATGGCACCATGAGAGTGTAGGTGCAGACTGGGCTGATCTGCTGGGTCCCAGGCAGCAACAGACCAATACCCTGACGAAGGAATGGAAGGCGTTAAGAGATGCATAGTGAATTCAAATGGGCTCATTCCTTTCAGGCAGCTGGAAAGGTGTGAATAAATAAAGAAACTTGTTTTGTCAGCTTTCCACATCATTGTTTCTCAGCAAAGCCCACAGGGGTGCCTGGAGGTGAGCAGGATTGGTGCACACTGATGTGCTTGTGGCCTGTGTTAGCTCTGGCACCCTGGCCTTGGCAAGCACTGTGGAGAATAGCATGGTTGAAGGAGGAGGCCCCGTGTTGAAAGTGCTAAAAAACGCAGACTTGTGGGTTTGGTGCTCCAGCCCTGCCAATGGGCTGATCAGAGTGCTGTGATTAGAAGCAAGTAAACCACTTTTTGTGAGTTTGCCGCAAGTGCACTGCTGAGCACAGGAGCTAGGATCATAGAATCAACTAGGGTGAAGACCTATAAGATCAAGTCCAACCATTACCCCAGGGCTGTGAAGTCCACCACTAAGCCATGTCACTAAGGTCCTCATCTACATGGGGTTGGAACACTCCCAGGGACGGTGATTCCACCACTTCCTGCGCAGCCTGTTCCAATGCCTGACTAACCTTTTGGTGAAGAAATTTTTCCTAATATCCAATCTAAACCTCCACTGGCACAGCTTGAGGCTGCTACCTCTTATCTATCGCTTGTTGTGTGCTCACAGGCAGCGCCTGCAACACCTCGTGCTCCTGGCCTGCCTGCTCCTTCCCTTGGTGGTGTGTGAGGTGCTGCAGAAGGGCCTCCTGAAAAGCCAGGGCTGCCTGGAGCAGGCAGGGATCCCTGGGCATCCCTCTGGCCCTGCCCTGTGCCGTGGCTCTCTGTCGCACAGCGTATGACAACAGGACCACAGATGATACTCTAAGGGTTTTATTAACAAGCATAATATATATGCACTGTATACTAAATAGAGTATGAGGCCTGTACAGTACAAATTTATGTTCACAGTTCGCCATGACAAAATGTCATTACTGAATTCCCATTGGACTACCAAAGTAGAAACAGTGAAAGTACATTAAACATTCACATCTTTAGTAAGATTACCAAAATGTCCTGTATTTGCAAGTGATAGTAATGCACACTAGAAACCTTTAATTACCATTCAGTCTTATTAGCTCATAAAATATATTACACTTTATTTAAAAATGTCTGCATAGTTTATACAAGTATTAAGGTAAATAGAACACCCCTGCTGTCGCTGCAGGTGAGAGATGCTAAGCAGAAAGATTATTTTGACCCTCTAATATTAAAAGTACATTTTTTAAAAAAGTGCTAATATCTGTAAAATGCAATGAAAACTGGTGTAGCCCTCTTTTAAGATAATGTAAAATGCTTTGCAATTTTGTTATGGAAAGGAATCGTATTCATCTACGTGTTGCTAACCTTGACAGAGACAACAACATACTTGGACAAGATGTGGCATTACAAGTATCACTGCAGAACAGTGGTGTATATTTAAATAAACCCACAAACATTAATACCTGCTTAGCTTTTTCTGATTGTCATAGAAACTTAGAAAATTATTATATGGCTTAAACAAGCATGTTTTAGTAAAGCAGTGTTATCTGTCACACACTGCAATGCTGCTAGGGAAAAAGGTGGTTTTTTAAAATGTGCATGTTCTGCAGGATTAGGGTTTTCTATCTTTGTATCTAAACTGATTTCTCTTCAGGGCAAAGACAGGACTGGCTTTAAAAAGTGTTTACTTGTGTATATTTTAAGATACTCCTCAAATCAGAGTTTGCTAAAATGAACCAATGAGCCAGTTAAGATGTAAGTTCACGTTTTCAGCAGAAAGAAGAAAGCATACTTGTTCGTGAGTTCAATACCCCAAGAGACCCCACAGACACAAGTGAAAAATCCCACAAGCAAGGCAATTACATGAAATAATCTCAAATATTTGTATTTAATATTTAGATTTCTGTTGTCCTGAATCACAAGGCACATGGATAAAGATATTTTATAGTTCTATTGAATCGCCACTGTATTTGTCCCCACCGTTAGCGTAAATATTGTCAGGAAAAAGGTAGACAGGCTAATGAATGGATATGGGAAACAACCTAGACTAAATTCTGCAAAGTAACTCCCAGTTACAGAGAAGTTCTGCTTTTAGGGGACTTGATTTTAGATTTCTAATTTTTTAAAAAGAAAAAAATACTAAAGAAAACATTTTGTGAAGACAAACAGAGCATTGGAAAGAAATGTTCCTTGAACATCCCAAATCATATGCATTTGCACTTGTTATGCTAAAACCGCAACCAGTTGCCATGAAGCTGCTTATTTTTGGTAGGACCTCATCTGCTTTTCTCCCTAGAACATAATAGAGAATTGTTTTCATCCCAGGATACTCAATGTCTGTAGGCTTCTGCCTGGTGCTACAGGGGCTGCGAGCAGCCTGTCAGTGACGTGTTGGCACTGATGCAACTCCCAACAACATTCAGCACCTACGGAAGGAGGCCGTCTGCTACTGCTGACACGACATGTCCAACAACCCCCCTGCTCTGGAACAGCCGCTCACCAACAGCCGCTCACTAATGTCGCTCTCTTCCCTGCAAGCTCCTCAGTGTTAGCAGCGACCTGGCCTACCCAAATCAGACCACTTCATCTGCCAGGTTGTTCAGCTCCATAGCCAAGCGGATGAGGGCCAGTTACAAGATCAATCTGGTGCAACTCCCTTCAGTCCTAGTGAAGCGGTGAGGTTGTATGGTGCTGTAACAGATCTTCCTCACAAAACCTTTGCAGCGATGTTCCCAGCCCTGCTTTGCAAACCCCTGTTCTCCCCTTCTAGAGCACACGTTCTATGCGTTAAGTAGAATTGCCAGTTCCATGTTCCCACATGTAAGATTTGTTAAACTGGAGCAATACTTTGTGTGTCACAGCACTCGCTGTGGGAGTGTTCCTCTCTGGAAGTACAGATCCTCTCCTTCGCAATTCTACAGGCACGTGGATGTCAGCAGAACACTTGGTAAACTCCCATCAGCAAGGGAAGGCTCTCTGCACTCACACTCTTCCATCTGCGGGATTATCTGTTTGCCATTGAACTTCATGGGATGTATATATACCTGTTCCAATACACCCACCCACAGATGAACACTCCACCTGCCTCCTCCTGGAAAGTCTTATGAAAGTCCTCTTCCCTTTACCCCTCCATTTTCCAGCAGATTTTTCCAAAAGAAACAGAAATCTGACTTCAGTATATTTAATTTGCAGGGAACGCTGTTTATCTTGCGTAGGGGAAAGAAGAAAAACGCACTGGTGCGCAAGACCCTAGAGAAATGCATCCCATTTCCTTGCAGTGCCACAAACTCTGCAGTCTAATAGACAGAAACCTTCTTTCAGTGGGCTCCCAAAGACAAGAACATTTCTAAGGTCAACTGCAGGTTGCTGGAGTTATTTTATCTATCAAGTTGCATTTGCTAACTGAGCTGGGAGTTAAGATTCGCTGATGTGATATTTTAATGCAACAGACACATCCATGGGGAAGCTTTGTCTGCCTACCATTGAGAGACTACCAGAGTCAGAAATCAGTTATCAAATGGATGATTTGGTGCATGTTTTTATCCAAAGCAGATACACAACTCAAGTTTATCATCAGAAGCACTTCGTATCTGATGCGATCTTCTCATAAAAGTATTGTAGATTACTAATTTTACATACTGGGTGTATTAAACAGGCACTCACAATACAGTTCAGAGCACTCTGGATGCAACGATTGCTATTTTCTGAGGTACATCAAAGAGAGAAAATTACTTAGAGGAAATGTAGAGGAGTGATCGCACAGGGATAGTCTATATCCCTGAAATGAGGTGTGGTATGTGTCTATGAGTATCATTTAATGCCATATCATAGGAGAGTACCATGTGTTGCATCCATATAGTTGCACAGAAACCAGACATACAGTGTCACACAAGGTCTTCATTTAACAAATCCACCAGGGCATGATGCAATAAAAACAAGGATATATACTACACTATAATACAGAGGACAGAGGACATTGGTTTAGATGCACAATATTATGTATGGAGCAATTCCTGCCAATTTTTCTTCTTCATTGAGGTAAATGATGCTATGACTCAATCTGTCTGTAAAGTAATTTCATTGCTTGGATTTATTTCTATGATGTTATTCACTGTTTGGGCAGAGGGGACTCCTAAATCAGGTTTCTTTCTAGAACTGTTTCATCAACCATGTTGCAGAACTCAACATGGCTGGGAGAGTCCATTCATTGCATTGTTGAGCATAAAATGATTGTATTCCTTACAATAAATAAAAGTCTCTGGCAAGGACTAGCATTTTGAATATTCAAAACATTTACTACTTTATCAGTATATGCTGGGTTGAATATATGAAGAAACCAACAAAATCTGTTAGTCTACAAATTCCCTTATTCACAATGGAATACTTTAAACATACTGTCTGCAGAAAGGGTTTGCTTAGCATCCCCAGGAGAAAGAAAACAAAAAGTGTTCACATTCTTTAGGTCTGACCCGTGGCAAGAACATAGAAGGGTTAGATAACCTCTGTTACTGACCATAGGTAAGCTTTTAATGGTATAAACTCAGAGATTCAGTCCAGCTGAATCCAAAATAAAATGCATGTGTACAAAAAAGAAGTGTGAGAGGAGTCAGGGACAGAAGACATTCAGACTAGCATGTGGCGTTTTCTGTGGAGAGCAAGGTGGTCTGAACGTGAAAAGCTACGGTCACAGTCTGGGCACTGAAAAGGTTTGATGCCGGTATGCTTGCGGAAATGCCGCGTTAGTTCATCAGAACGGGCAAACTTCCACGTGCAGCCCTCCCAAGTGCATTTGTATGGTTTTTCACCTGGAGAAAGAAACACAGAAGTGGGGATTTAAGACACAAACAAAGCAGTTAAATATCTGACAGGTTTATCCTCTTGCCTTGTCAAATTTCAGCAAGTACTTTAATGCTTACTCAAAACGCCGCCCTCCAAACAGCACCAGGCTGCACAGCACTCAGTGCTAGGAACTGTCTAGTTGAAAGCAACAGATCAAAAATTGCTTCCTGCCACAACTTATTTTTTTATTGTCTCTCTGCTCCCCTCCTTGCCATATCAGCACTTGGTTTGTCTCACCAAGCCCAGAAGTGTGAAGGTTTACACATTTGTTCAAGTATTTTCAAAACCAGAACACCATATTCTAGATTAGTTGGGGGAAAGGACTGGTGCTACCGTTCAGCACAGCAGACAGAGAACTTGTGACCTCTTAAAGTTACTGTAGTGTAAGTAACTGGCACCACTATGCCAAGTAGCTCAACTTAAAGCCTCTCTCAACCATTACTTTGTAATATGTGATCCTTCTCCTTAATACCATCATGCTGTCTAACAGCTGAAGGGCTGTCTTGATGTAAGACAGACACAAATGGGGCTCCCTTTTACCTAAGAGTGTCCTGTATCTTTGTAAAAAACTTTGATGTATTCAGCAATGCCAAGATGGGTATTTCTACAGAGAACAGAGATGGGGACGTGTTTACTGGAACACTCACGCAGAAAAAGCACTGTTGAACCAGGTGCTAGCACACCCACATGAAGCAGATGTGTTTGTATTTGGCACATGGTCTGGACTTTTGCAAATGGGTTACTCCCATGGAAGTCTCAGTCAAATTTAACAGTCATGTAAGAGGTGAGGTACTGCAATTTGAACTGATTTGGTGTTTACAGGGTGTTTACAGGGTGTGCAGATTTAAGCAATCTGCAAGCAACTGGACAAAAAATGAGCGAAGAGCCAGTGAATGTAAAGCATACCCTCATACACCATGATCCTGCTTTGGCTTTACAGTCTCTTGTTGTAGATTTTTCCTGCTACATCCTCCATCTTTTGCTCAGCCTACAATTACATTCAGAACAATGCCAAATCCATCCTCTCTCATTTTATTTACATCTGGCCATTAGCACAAACTGAAAGTGTAGTCTACCATTTTACCATAGACTTGATGAAAGGAAAGCATAGCAATGCTCAAACCTGTATGGGTTCTTCTGTGAGCTTTCAGATGGGAGCTTTTAGTGTAGACTTTGTTGCAGCCTTCATAATCACATCGATGTATTCTACGTTTTCTCTGTGTGTCTGGAGATTCCACAGGTAAAGGTCTCTTTCCTGGCTGAACTATAACTGAAGGGTGATTCCTGCAAAGGCAAACTGCATGTTAAAAATGAGAAACATTCAGCACAGCAAACCTCAGCTCAGATGATTCATGACAGAGCTCTCTATTCACTACCCCTCTGTCTCTTGGCAGAAAGAACAACATTACATGCATGTCGAAAAATTCAAGAGGGTTTAGCAAATTTTGTGTATTCTAGCAGAAATGTTTCAAAATGTTTACTCACTTTATGGCATGATGTAGCCATTTTTACTACTCCCTAGCTTTTTTTTTAACCTTATAAAGGAAAAACCCATTCAAATTCCTGTTTTTCAGAGTCAAATTTCTCAAACTGAGTTCATAGCGAACTTTTCTTGTATTTGTTCACAATTTTTCCTCTTCCTTCCAATGCAACTAATTTGCTTGCAATTGGAAACAGCTATTCCATATTATTAAAGAAATTGTATCTTTAGGGTTTCAAAGCAGAACTCAGTCTTTATTGTTCCAGCCACTCCTTTAGAGAGTAATTAAGAGTTTCCTGTTTGGTGCTGGCAGGAGGGTGCGGCCTCCCTGTACCACTGACGTCAATTCCTAAAAGCAGAGTTCAGCCTGAGTGGCACACCCACAGGATGTCTGCAGTTGTCCCTCCACCTTCACAAACATTGGTTTTTGCTTTTGAAGCCCACAGGTACGCTGCAGGTAAGACATGTACCAACTACATATGGACTCCTGTAAGAGACAGAACTATACACATTCACGCATGTGCAAACCCATCCAGCTTCTCAACAGGTGGTGTTGTGGATATTCAGGTTTGAACAACACCCCTGCTGCAGAACCAGGGACAACCTTGGTTATTTCTTCCATGTCAATGTTAGAAAAGAAAATAAATAAGTTCATCAAAATGGTACGTGGCATTACAAATCTTGTAGCCTCACAAAGCTGCATTTTTCTAACCATTAGCAGATCTGTATCAGTGCTTTTAACGTATTTTTTAGCTTTTAATTGAAACTTAGTATATGATGTGCAGGTATTACCATTCCTTGTTGCAAAACTAGCTCCTCCATGTGACAGAAATAAGCCTTCTCGAATTCCCATCTTTCCCCTAGTTGCTGTATTTCACATTTCTTTACTGATCAAATTACATTTTATAACTATATAATGCACTAGGTTATATCAGCTACTTAGATCAAGTTCCTTTAGGGCCTAATTTTCAGAAACGCTGAATACCCAGTTCTCTCATCAAAATGAAGGGCACATGCTAAAGACAGAAAATCTGTGCGTGGTTTAACAAGAAAAAAAATTCTGTTGTTCTCCATAGCAGCAGGATGGGAGTTACTGATGTGGGTAAAGTTAAATTCTGTTATTTATTCTTTTACTAGAGTTACAAGCTTCAAATTGGTAGCCAAATCCTCTTCCTTCGGAGTTTCTGTGACTGTTGAGTGATGCATTCTTCAAGTGCATGCTAAATCTAGCTAAAAATACTGTAATGGCAGGAAACCTCAGACAGTGATGTTAAGACACAGATGTACATACTCTCACATAAGAAAGGAAGGCTTTTAGCTTCCAAAGAAATGCTTCTCTAAAGCAATACTCCATTTTAACACTGTTGCATACTAGTCTTTTTGAGGAAGCTCTGGTTTAAGAGAGCAAACAGATCTGATTTAAATGCCTGTGTGCACAGGCTAGTCCTGGACATGGTAACACCTGGAGAAAGGGAGAAAGAGGACACTGGCTGCATAAGATTTGTGATGGTTTTCAATCTAAGAGTGTGTAAAAAAAGTGCTGAGGATTTGTCTCTGTCTCCTTTTCCCTTTAGAGAAAAGGAGGCTGGCAAGACACAGTGTTATCAACAGCCAGGCAGGGCATGGCAGCTCTAAAAAATGGCTAAGGCAGTGTCAAAAATCAGAGGTAAATGAAGTAAGCGCCAATAATAAAAGCACAGCTCTAATTCTTTCATTCCCTCTTATACAACCAAATACAAATTCACGTAAGTCTAACCATTTAAGTGCCATTATTTAATCAATAAGAGTATCTATCTTCCAAAAAATCATGTTACAATTTCCTCCTCATCAACAGACCACACTATGTTGTCAGCTTAAGTTAGGCTTCAACACTTGCACTTGCAACAAAATAAAATATTAATGAGGCTTCTGATATCTGGTCAGAGATTACTACCTCAGGTTTTATTTTAGAAATAACTGCACAGTTACTTCTATTATTAGACATACTAGAAAGTCCAGCAATCCCACAAAAATGCCACCACCATCATATACACACACACACAAACACATATGTGTGTGTATGCCTAAAACTAACATTAAAGCTAGATTAGTCACTTAAAAGTGAGACTGAAAGTTTCCTATGTCCCTTTATTGTAGCTTATTAGTGCACCTTGGGCAGTTGGAACCTATGAGAAATGCTAAAAAATCACTGCCAAACCATAGCTCAGAATGCAGAGAGGCTGATGAAGCTGTGAGACAACAGGAAATTTTATAAAGGTCTAGGTGTCTCGCCTTCTAACTTGTGTGATTTGTCTGCCTTTTTTTCTAAATGATAGAATTTACAAACTTCTTCTTGTGAATACAGAACATGAACTTGAACGATCTGGCTTTAGGAACCAGCGAGAACTGCAGCTCTCCTGGACAGCTAGGAGGCAATTTAAGCCGCTACCCAGGACAGGGTCTCCATAAACCTACTGCTCTGCATGGGCAAGCAGAGGAGATGCTTTGGGAACATGGACTATTCAACACTACCTACATGTTACACCAAATTTTATGTTCTTTGCTCAGCGGATGGGTTTCCTGTGGAAACTGGACTCATTGGGAAATAATGCAAGTCACTAATGCAGGTGACAAGTCTGCAGAAGTCTCAGCCCTAGAGGAAGGGTGTGGTATCAGCAAGGAACAGCACTTACTGGTTTGCTCTTGTTAAAGAGGCCTATAACAAAGAACAGAAGTAAACTGAACCATTTGATAGTCCTGACCTACCAGAAGTTAGTTCCAGGTACATACAGACCTGACTCCCTTGTGTGGCAGGTCCATTACAGAAGATAAGTAACCACCTTGTATTAGAAGATAAGTAACCACCTCGCTTACTATTTTATGTTTACCGTAATAAAACATGTAAGGTTACTTTTAAATAAACAGCATACAGTTTATAAAAGCCAGCTGGCCACTAGCTGAATTGCAAAGAGCATGCACTCTACAAGCTGTATCTGAGTTGGCTATTAGAGACCTGAAACAAAGGAAGGGTGCCCACAAGATGGCTGTACAGAATGTAGTTAGCCCTGGAGTCATGGTGTGCCTCCTAACCTGGGATGGTCATGAGCAGGAGGAACCAGCTGACTTGTGACAGAAGTGCAGAAGACTGCCTGTTCCATGCTTTCTCCACACTCACACGCTGGTTTTGGGAGTCTGACTTAGAGCCCTTTTTCCCACTCTAGGCAGTGAGGTCTCCTACAACTGCTCTGAGGGTGATGGTTAGCAGGAAGAAAAGGCAGAAATGAATTATGGTATGTATTAGGTCATGTACCATTAGCCCAGCTCAGTTCCAAACTTCAGCTCTTGCCAGAGCCATGCCAGCAGCCTACATACCTGTCCAGAGCACTGCCAGCTGAAGGATGAGGGGGGCTCTAGGCCATCCTATGATTTTGGTAAGTTGACAGAATTTTCCCTAGGAAAACAGGAAGGGTGCCCATGGCTCCTTACGTATTTCCTGAGAATTTTTTTGTATTTCTGTCCTGGGTTCAATATAATATGGCCAGACCTCACTTCTTTCTAGCCCTTGCTCCGCCTTCTGCAAACAGAAGAGTTCTAATGCCTTAAGATCTGTGATCCAGTTCATGCAGTGGCCCCAGTAGTAGCTGTACCAGCACAATGACTTGGTACTGGGGTGGAACTAAGTGGCTGGGAGAAAAGCAAGCTTCAGGAACTACTTGAGCTGCCAAAAAACCCACCCACAGAACAATGGCCTCAGGTAAACATGGAATTTCACTGGATATATACAAAACTTGTAGGCCTGAGGGGGTTCTTTCCACCGAACAGCCAAAAGTTATTAAAAGACAAGTCCTCCAAGAAAAGGAAGTCACAGGAATCTTTTCAGAGAAAGGTATTTCAGGCAACACAGAGATCAATAGGAAATGTCTTTACAGCTTCTTTCCAGTTTGCTGCTGGTTTTACATAAACAGGTATCACTGGCATATGGAGAGCCCTACCTTCAATGAACTGTAGGACTGAGACTAGCATTACTTTACAAACAGATTATGTAAATGGCAGATCTAGGGGGTTGCAAAGTATAGATACGTAACAACTCCCATATCGCTAAAGAGAGTTAAAAACAGTTGAAATCGCATTTCACAATGGCAGTGGAGGGCAAAGGATGTTTTTCTATATTTTATCACATTTTCTAAAGCACAGCAACACCCCCTCCTACTCCTCAAAACTGGTAACTGTTGCAATGAACTGCTCTTCATTATTCTGCTGATGTTGGGACTACTGTTAGCTACTTACTCTTGCAACATTACTTGCTGGGGAGACAATGAGGTCATCATTGGAGGTGACATTTGCTCAGGATAGAAGTCAGTCTTCTGTGGTTCACTTCCTGGCTCTACTTTGATTGTCTTCTTCAGCACAGGCTTCTCATAAGACTCAATGACAGGCACTGTATGGGGGAGGGTGGGAGAAGGCAGGGAACATTACAAAACCGTAGAAAATTAAAGAAATAATATATGTAAAAATCGGTAGTTAAAACAAAAGAAATCCCCCACCTCAAGATTTAGTGCAACAATTTATATTAAAGTACAAAATCTTCCAGTTTTAGGCTATCTCCTGATGAACTGTAATTCAAAACAATTCTGTTCATTTTCATCAGTCCAAATCTCAGTAGATAAACAGCTTTTGCAGGTATATATCAGAACAGAATACAACTTTGATTAAGTTTGATAAAATATTTACACAGTAAATTCTATGCCTATATAGTTTAGAATAACAGGAATTATGTTTCATTTCCTAGAATCCGAAAAACACACAAAAAATGCTTGGATATACAGTTATTTTCCCAGGATGAAATGGTACAAGAAGAAAACTCTGACAGCACCAACCTGGCATACTACTTGGAGTTTCCATCTCATCTGCAAGAACTGTTGACACCATGATGGGCTGCTGAAGATGGGGAGCATACATAAAAGGAACTGGCTGGACCACAACAGGCTGTATAACTGGGAGTATTCCAGGGCTTCTCAGTCCGTGGCGTGAAAGAGCAGCGGCCATTACAGGTGGGATGGTTATTGGCATGGAAATAGGCTGTACTCCCGGGGGTGATGGTGTAAATTTACTGAGAGGTGAGCTGGGTGAGGACAGAGTCAATCCAGGTGAAGTTCTCCTATGCACAGTCTGGAATTTTAGAGGGGAAGGAGAACTTCCAGTTGAAGGTGGTGAGCTCCGTTTGTTCACCGTAAGGTCTACTGGCTCCATCTGGATTCCATTTGATAGTCCTTCAGGGCTTGAGTAAAATTTATTGTGCAACATACCCGGTGTAGAATAAATGACGCTGTACTTGTTTGGCTTCATTTGGTCCATGTAATTGGATGGGTATGACTGTCAGAAGTAGTGGAAAAAGAATTAAAGAAAATAATAAATCAACACACACGATTACTGCTGAAAAAGAAAGGCAGTTAATAAAACTGAGCAAAATGAGAGAGTTTCAAGGAAGCACTTCAGTATACTTTCTAAATAAAAGTGAATTAAATAAAGCTTAAGATTTCACACAAGGGAAGTTATTCAAGTCCTGATTCACTGTTTCAGAAGCACTATAGAACAGATGATGAAAACAAATCCTCAAGGCTTACTCAACTCTTTCTCCCTTAAAAACTGTTTTTTATATACTAAGCTGCACACCACTTAACTGACCAGGGAGATACATGGTGCTATGTCAGAATATAACTATATACCAAGGATCATGAAGTCAAGCAAATCAGGAGTTAAATTTGACTTAGAATTGCAAGTAATGGGTCCCAATCAACAGCGTAATTGGTAAACAATCATCACTAAAGCAAGAAGTTTTGTATCTGAACCCTACAAGCAACGAAAAATACACAGCTGCACTACATAAGCAATAGGTGAGAAACCCAAGAGTACAAAAGGTAAATTTTAAACACTGTCCCCCCTTTTTTTTCTTCTTAAAGGAATAAAGCAGCTAACCAGCCAGTCTGATTTTATAAAACTACTACAAGGATAAACATTTGGTGTGGTTGAAGAATGTTCTTGTTAGTGATAGCTATCAGTTCTCCCTACAAGATAATACAAACCGGAAGGCTAATCCTGACCTATGTGACAATCTCCACATTTTAGAGGCAGTAATTTTTGCAAACCAGAAAGTATTTCCATTCATGGCAGAGTACAGTGTTATTAAACAACCATCCAGATCAGTTTTGCATTTGAAACTCAGCTGAAAGCTGGGGTTGTTTAGTAACAGGTAACTTACAAGGGAAACCAATGTGATATTCTAACACAGGAGATACCCATAGGAAATGCAATCCACAGTTTCTTAGCCTTTAGATGTTGTAAATTTTTTGAAATAAAATGCTGTCTTTGGATCCCAGGTAAGTAAGAATTCACATTAAGGCTCAGCAGTTTTGCACTAATGTGAAAAACCTCTGGCACCAAAAAGACTCTGATGAGGGGGTTTAAAAAAAAAAAAATTCACATGGTAGAAAGTGAAAGAGATCAGAAATATAAACCCATTATATTTTTATACAATCATTTCCATGACATTTCAATTATTTTTTCCTGGGATGAAACCTGTAGCAGTAATGAAAACCTGTAGCAATACATCTTCCTGCTTTCCCAACTGCCTTCCCTATGAGAGCCAGTCAGTTGATTTTAAATGTCAATGTTAACTAAAAATATTTTTGCAAAATGACCCAAATGCATTTTTCTTCTTCTTGGTTACTGTTTGAAACAGTGAGTTTAGAAAATATTTCATTTTCCTGCTGCATTCATAACAGTATGGTAAAACAACAAAGCTGAGTCACCTATTCCATAAAGTGCTCAAGTAAAGAAGCATACACAATGGTGATTAATCTTGAAACAGTAAATATTACATTAAAACCTCTGAAACTTTTATTTATTCTCTTTCTGACTAGTCTTACAAATTCCATCTATACCAATGTTCATCTTTGCAACTGGTTCCTCAAAATTGTATTAAAATTCAATTATTGCAAGCTGTGCTGGCTGAAGTAAATTCTACAGATTTGCTACCACTGCTGAGGTAAGCAATGAAATTATTAGCATTCTAAGTGATGAAGGCAACTGAATATTGATAGAGTTTAATATTTAACAGTATTTAATATCTACTAAATCTGACCAAGTTACAGGCATAGGCAAAAAGATCAAAGTTTAAACACTTAGGAGATACTAAATACTTCTGTTAAAATTGTCATTTATTGGTTTACAGTACAAAGTCTACCCAGCTTCAACAAAGTAAGTGTTTCACCATTCAGCATCAGTGCATTGATAGTGCTGCAGGTTTGCCAGGGATGATCACAAGGTCACTACCTACAAACATTTCTTCCATTGCAAGAATACTAGAAAGGAAAAAGACTTTGCAATTTAAATCTTAGGGATTTGGGCAATGGGTCTATTGAAGAATGAACCATCTCCAACCTGTAGCTTTTCTACACAAACAGTTATCCTCTTTCAAGTCTTCAAGTAACACTGGATGTGTTGAAAAAATATCAAACTATTAAAATGTTGGGCAGAGAAATGTAAACTAGAACAGTTAAGCACAGCATGTTTAGACAAGCAAGACATACTTGAGTATTTTAGGGACTCGGTATTCTACCCCATATGCCTTACATTATTTTGCATAGAAGTCTGGCACAGATTTAACAGCAGCTAATTTTTCTGGCAGTCTGGGGAAACTAAATCATTTTCCTAAACTCCTCCTGTGATCTGAATTGCTGTTTCTGTCTGAACTGCAGATAAAAGTTGTGATAGAAAAATGCAGTGTGACAAATTATCTGTGTTGGGAAGAAAAAGGTGAAAAAGTTGAGAAGGATGCTAGAACAATGAAAAGGCAACTATCTGCTGTCAGTCAAGACGCTGTTTGGTGGAAAAGTTTTGCTTCACTGGCAATGAAATGTGATTGAAATCCTGTTTGTCTGGAGTTAAGTCACACTTAGATCTATGCCCTGGTTCTGAAGCTGAGCTTCGTGTATCTTTTAGCATAGCAAAGGTTCTGTTTCTAGACCCTTGGGACACAGCAATTGCCATGAGGTTGACTGTTTTCAAATTTGGTAAGTCACTTTCCCTTTCTTTGCCAGGGAAGTATCCCACTGGGCATACAGGATGGGAAAATAAGGAAGACTTCACACTTCCATGCAAATAGGGAGGAATTATCAACCACAAACCAAAAAAAGCCCAACTATCTCTGGTTTTCTAAATACCACCAACTGCAGGAAGCAGGACTTACTTCATAGCCCGCAGAAGAAGTCTTTTCTCACCTGTTCTAGAACTTATATGAAGTATTCTGGTGGAACAATTGAAAATTTAGTGTAGTTCTTTTATTTGCCTAAAATATTTAAGCTCATACATTTTCCTTGGATTTCTACTGTGGGAATTAACAGTGTATGCGGGAGTTTGGTCTGACTTAGATTTAAAAAAAAAAACAATAAATTCCCTCTTCCCTGTAAATTCTGCTTTCTTAAACATCCCTGTGCAGAATGGCATGTCACTGTGGTAGATCACCACAAAAATGCAGGATTGTATTTCAACAGACATTCCTTTACAGTCTCCATCTAGCTCTTGTTTTATGTTTGCCATCATCACTTTCCCTCTTTGGGTCTTACAAAGCAATTAATTTACCTTTCCTAGCTGTTTGTCCATAATAAAATCCAGAGTACTGAAGTCACAAAGAAACTGGAAAATAAATCAAAGGAACTTCTGATATTTTTGAGTCATATCCATGTGGCTCATACAATTAAACCGATAAATCCAAAAGAGAGAATCGCCATGCTTTTTCTCTTGACAATCTATCAATGATAATGACTGGACACACATGTCACAAGCACATCTATCAGCACCCAGAAGGCCGCTGCTTCCACTAGGAAACAGTATCAAGCACTTACCTGATATAATTTGCTAAATTCAATTATACTTCCCCAGTGAAACACCATCTCTGTTGTACAGGCAAACAGATTTTGAAGCAATTCACCAAGTCTTTTATAAACTACATAACCCTACGAATTTAACTTTAACATTTAGCCAGCCTCTTAAAAAAACATAAACAGGTGAAGAACCTGCTTACCTACTTACACCATTTGCTGAATCAGTATCATGTAAGAGGATGAACTGTATTTAATCCAAACAATAGCTAATACACAAAAAAGCATTCTCACCACATAAAATTTGTATTCCAATACACTACTTAAGAGCTCAACTCCTTGTGTAGCACACAGCTATCTTTAAAAACAGGTGAAACAAACAGTTGCAGGACTGATGGAAACACAGAGAAAGGCTGATTGTTTCAATTCAAAGAGAAACCGTTAACACATCAAAAAGCAACTTCTTTCACTAAATGGCAACTGGTTTTAGTCCAAATGTTTAAAAAGTCCTTGCAGCAAGTGTTTAGGTAGGGCTCAGATGACTTTGTCACTAGCTCATTAAGAACTATCACAAGATGTGTTCAATAATTCAGTAAATAGCATGAGCTGTTGGTAGAATGATGAAATACTGTGGGTGCGAGCTTCAGTCATCTGAGAAGTATAGTTAATCCTTTCAGTCACACGCCCTGAAATACAGTAGTGTCAAAACTATAATTTGTTTCCTTCTCCCATCCCAACCAGCAGGATTTTTTAAAGACAGATTTTATATCTATGGACAGTGTATGCTCAGCTAAAATAATGAATAATTCTCAAGGGGCTTAGTTTTTTCGTAATGATACCATCAGAACGAAAGATACAATACAAATAAATCTTGATTTTAGATTTCTGGGTTATGTCAGCCCGCAGAGAAATGAATGCTATGCTCAGCACCTCCAAAACATCACACTAACAGTTTCTCTTACCTTCCACCTCCTGAAAAGAAGGTCAAGAAAACTAACACAGTGGCTGCTATCTTTTCCTATGTTCTCTACACACCATGATTCCTCCCTTTAAAGGTGTCTCCAGAGTAGTTTCTGCTGGGAAGCTGTGGTGGCAAGGGCTCCAAGGAAGCTTCAAGACCAAGAAATGCTGGGGAAGCCAGGACCTCGAGGGCTTGGGGCTGAACAGCCTGTGTGTGTACACAAGCTGTCAGCCTAAGGGAAACTAGGGTAATCTCCATGAGAGGGACCTTGCTCAAAAAATGTCCTTTCCTCTGGAATTTCTGCTTTTCCTTTCCTGCTTTTTTTTTTTCATTATGCAATAACAAACAGGAAATCATACTGATCTGGTAAAATGCTCTGAATAGTCCCCCAATGGCTGGTCACAGTGATGACACTGAGTTATAAGAACACCCAAGATGACTCCAGAGGTCCAACGCATGGAAGGTACTACACCTCTGCAAGAAGTATGTGGTATACAATAAGCCTTGCAGTGCACTTGGCTCAGAAATGTTGCCTTGTTCTTCCCACTGCAGCTCTTCCTTCATCTGCTGTCTGGGGAAGACTGCTCACTCCTCTCCTGGTCAGCCTGTTGAAGGATCAACCCTGTCCCATCTCACAGAAGCACACAGCTGTATAGGGGCAGGATCTTCTGTCTCTCATGTGCATTATCCAAGCCACTACAGAACCTTCTTTGGGAGATGAAGGCACATGTGTACAAAAGACAGCCTGCAGTGTCTCTATAATGATTTCTTGTTGTTTGCATAATGACACTGTTGTAAAAGTGGCCCACTTTCTGCCTTTGATAGATACCATTAAATACCCTTAGATAATTGTAGGTAATCACCACTAATCTTAATCAAGTTATGCAATAATTGTGATTGAAGTGACAGACAGACTGTCCAATACTAAGGCTCTTTCTTGACCCATATACTGTAATTTGTCACACACTCTTAGTGATAGATCATGCCTCTCAAGTAAATAAACCCTATGGAAACCATACTGCAACTTTAAAATGCACATATACTTAACTCTCAAAAAGTGTTATTAATAGCACTGAAGAAAACAGACTGCTTACAGAGGCATTTAAATTGATGACAATTACTCCACATTTTAAATAAAACAGGAAGCATCACTGGAAGATGCCATCCACCACATGAGTTTAACGCGCTCTATTTATGCACACTGACTTTACCCTTTTAATTGATCAGCCTCTTTAGGGGTGTGGTTTCATGTTGCACTTAACCTGATCTTATTGCAGAGGCTGCTGAAAGGGGCGGTCTCATTCCCTTGTCCTCCCCTTGCTCCAGCATTGAGCGGCTGCACAGAATAAGTCAGATCAGCTTCCTGATCTGACAAAAAATAAGGGTATTTTTGGTGGGTTAGCAATTCTGACCATTAAATGAGCTGATCCAAAGGATCCAAATCACTCTGTGGCCACACAATTGCTTCATGTCATACAAAGGAGACACAAAGCTGGAAAGGAGGAAAAAAAGCCTGAACCTTGCTTTTCAGCAGCAGCCAGCAGTTGAATAGGTGAAGTACACATGAAACTGCTTCCTGAGGCTCTACTTCCCTGGCAGCCTAAATCATCACAATTCCCACTGTCTCAACCCCAGCTACATGTTCCTGCTACTCTTCTTGTCAGACTCCTCTGAGATGACCCTACATACCAAGTTGACAGAAAATTAAACCAATTAAAAAGTCCCCCCATCCCCTTTTTTCCCCATTCCTCCTCTACTGCCCTGGCTCTCATCTGTTCACGTGTTGCACCCATCCTGCCCAGCGAAACAAAAAAAAATAACCCAAAAAAACAAAACCACTAAACAACCAAAACCATTCTTTTTTTGTTCAGGATTAATTTTCTGCTGTTCTGAACACAGAGTTAGCCCCAAGCACGCTGTCTAGACCAAGAGAGAAACAGAAAAGGAGACAGTGAGAAGCTGTTCATTTAGTTCAAAGGAGTAACATTAAAAACACAGGCTCTTGCCACTTCACTGTGAAGTCTGGTAACTTAATTTCAACCTACCTCCATCAGCTCTATGAACTACAGAGATCATATTTGCACTGCAACGGCTGAGATAACTTGGATATTATCTCCTCTGCTCTGGGTATGAGGACACCAGAAGAGGTAATGGGGTACGTCATTTAGGGGCAGTATGTTCAAAAACTACAGAAAAAGTTTTCCTAGAATGTGAATTCCGTTGCCCTAAGAGCAAAATACAGCTTCACAGCCTTTCCTAAGCTAACTCAAAGCTTAAGAGAAGTCTTAGGATTCATTTAAAGGTGGAAAAACTGTGGAGTCATTACAAAAGCTAATGTATTATAAAAGTCTTACCACTGAAACAGGCTCCATGGCTTCTTGCTTGATTGGGACTGGGTCAAACATTAGCATCTTTTTTATTTCCCTGTTCTGATGCCTCTGATGTCCTGGCCTGCAGGGGAAAGACAAGCTGTTAGAAAGCTACAGGAAATCCGCTAGGCAACTTCTGAACTGTAGAGAAAGTACTATTTTGTCAGACGAATGTGAATATTTACCCATCTCTAAATAGCATCTTAAATATTTGACAGGGCTTCATTTAAGTGTTTTTGTTGTTTGTTCTCTCAACTGCTATTGAAACAAAGGTACATCTGCTCACCTTAATGGAAGTGAATTTGTATTTTTATTGTGCATGTCAGCATACCAAGATCACAGAATTGTCACTTTCACTATTGTCAGTATGTAAGGACATCGCAGTCTAGACTAGGCATTTCTCACCAGCATTACAACTTCAGAGCTATCTTATATAAACAAACTGAACTGATTCTGGAGAGGATAAGAGTTCCAATAGGGAAGCTGAAACTTTCACATACATTGACATTGAAATCAACACAAAAGAAAGATTAAAATCCAGGACTAATGTACTGGAGAGGTAAATTCAACATGCTGCAATGACTTATTAAAAGATACATCAGTTATTTCCCTGAGATAACAGATTTACTGACAATTCAGTAACGACTTGTGCTCACTATGCAAAAGAAAAGCTCTTCAAAAGACCTGGTTGTATTCTGTGCAGCTTTAATTGTCTTCTCTACACTGTGTTCAACCTCACTTGTCTAATTCTAGCTTATTTAAAAAAAATAAGAAATACATAAAATCAATTTTGACCAGTAGATGGCACTGGAAAGAAACGAATACAGACAGAGCACATCATCCAATTTCACCCTGTGGAAGCAGGCTGCAGACTCAACAGCAGATCTGTAGATGTGGCTGGAAAATTCTTCCAGAAATTTAAATGAAAATTTCACGATGTACCTGCTCAAATTAAAACAATTCTAATAAGCTCGCACTAATGAACAATTTTACAATTAACAATCCTGTGTACTTATAGATAAGAATTTGTTAAGAGCTGCCAGAGAAAGATGGCACAAGTTGTTACAAGTCTATCATTAATTATGCAGGTATATGAATAAAGCTGAAAGACTTTTGGAAACATATTACCACAGTGTACATTTTGAATAATGGAAACAAACAAGTATCACAAGTAAATTAAAGTATCTTCCTCCTTTTTACAAAGGTCAAAGACCTGAGAGAACCAAACTGTGAAAAAAAGAAAAAGGTGAAACAAACCCAGCAGCTCAATGCAATTTCTAGCTTAAACTTAACAAAGTTTTATTTTAGAAGCAGCTGAATAAGATGGCACTATTTGCTAAAAGTTGTGATAATTCTGTAAATTTTTAATTTAATACTTTAAGTATGTTTGAGAGAAGGTCATTGATTATACTGCTCTTCTTTGAACGGTTGATTTTACAGGTTTTTAATGCTTCACATAGCTTGAACAAATGTTTCAGAAGACTGTCTTCCCAGAAACACATCCACATATCGATGCATGAAGTACATTTCACACATGTTCCTACATATATATATATGCACTGTGAAAACAGGAAAGAAGTTATCCTTTCAGACATAAAAGCGTTTACAGTAAAACGTAGCTTCTCAGATTAGAATTTGGAATCACTTGCTTTTAGGTTTCCAGAAAGTTCCAATTTTCAGTTTGCATGTGCATAGATAAAGTGACATACCAATCTGCACTTCAGTGAAGGAAGAGGTGAAAGAACAGAGGAAAAGAAAGGAGGAGAAGAGAGGAAAGAAAGAGAAGGAAGGAGTTTGTTCTACATAAGCAGTCATGCTCCAGGCTATTCTTTTTGCCATTGCTGTTTTAAGATTTATTTTCTTCAGTTTAAGTTACTCCTTTTCACTTTTTACTCCAAAGCAAATGTGTGAAAGACAGTTGATACACATTTCACTGTCATGCTACACATTTGAGTGTTTCCTGAGAGAGCTCTAAATTACTGTGTAGGAGTTAGACTGACACAGATAACATAAAGTGTTCTGCACGAAATAAAAGTGAAAAGTAATTCCCAGTCTTTCTCAGGTGTAGTCATCGAAGAATAGCAAAAGAAAATGTTGACTTTTATCGCTGCATCATAGTACAGAAATCTAGCACTTCTTTATCATGTTACTTTTAAGCATTTTTCCCCATTGATAGAGACTGGAAACCAATTTTCAAGAAAGCAAAAATAATTAATATACAATGTTGGCCCAGAGCAGAGGGTCAGATTCTTATTTGGTGGAAACCGGTGGAGTTGCTATAGAGTCAGTATAAACCACCTAGCTTTGGGTCTGGCATTTAAAGTTTAGCTCAGAAATACACTTCCTGAAGGCTGCAAACAAACTCACTAAACAATTCTCTTTGTATTTAAAAATAATGCTCCAAATTGATTGCTTGGACCACACTCACAAGTAACTACATGCACACCCAACGCACGCACAAATAAAGTATGCTAATTCTACTAAATTGTCAGTAGTTTTTCCTAGGCTATTTGTAAAATCATGCCTACTAACTCAAAACCTCCCAGCTCTCTCTCCTAAACATCTGAGAAGGGGGCAACACGGAAGGTAAACAGTCTTATCTGTTTCTACTACAGAGGAATGAAAAAACAGTTGGGTTCTACTTTACACACTGATTTCACAATGTACTTGTTTGGAAGCCCACAAATTGTTTAGCAAATACAACTAATTTCTGGAAAATCAAAATACCAAATCTCATTCCTGAGGTACCCTGGAGAAAACAGTGAGGGGACAACAATACATTCATTTTAAGTGTATGAAAAAATAAGGGCCTTTGTCTTTCATGTTATTAGATAAACTGTTCTGCATTAAAGGTTTTTTTTTCATGTGGGTTAGAAGAATTTAAAATGCATGCAATCTGAAACTAAATAATTAACTACAATCTGGTAGGCAAACATTCCACCCTCTCTTTTTTTTTGCTCTCCCTCTCTTTTTCTGCTAACAAGCCACCCAGTTTTACTTTCTTGCCTCCTCCCATTCACTCCACCCTGTGGATCTCTGCCAAGTCAGCCCAACTTGTCCAAACAAGACATGGCTTTTGATAAAATTTTGCTCACACCCTGTACTTCAGAAAGACAAATGAAGCAATTGGGTTTTGTATGCAAATAAGGACAGGTGGAAGGTGAAGTCCAGGCAGAGTCCTTCAGCGTTTTGCTATGTCCAGTGAAGACAGCCAGAAAAAAAATGAACTCTGCCTTTATGATCCAATATCCAAGGGAAGAATTCCTTCCAAAAGGAAAGTTCAGCATCGGTAGGGCCCATCGCCTTACCAGGATTGAAGAGTTTGTCATATTAACTTCCTGACAGCTATGGTTTACTGTTTCAGAGACATAATTAAGAGTAAATGAAAGCTTAAAGGTACTCACGGTGTATTCTGACAGTAAGGACTTGTACATATTATTTACCCTGGATGAAACAAGCAAAGCAGTTAAAGAATGGAGCCAGACTACACATCTACACAGCAGCTGGAGAAGAGCAACTGCACCGCAGCTACGCCCGACAGCTTCATACATCTACCTTCAAGGTCCACCAACACCGTAAACCTGTTACAAAAGGGTGGGGTGGAGGGATAGTTTTGACCCTGCACATCTAACAACTACAAAGCCTCCCTCTGACATAGAGTCTTTGCTCTCAGTAAATACCTGGAAGAGTAGTCAGTGTCCTGACTCTTGCTGCGGACAGCAGGGTGGTGGCCATAAATTCTGCCTCTCTTCACTCTGCACAAAAGCATGCACGGGGCTTGCTTTCTCAGTCTTTGTGCCTGGGGGAAGCAAGTAATGCTGCCTCGTGGTACAGTGAGGCTTTGTCTAGAAGCTTCAAGGTATGATTGTTATTGTTGGTATAATTACAGAATAATGTAATGGTATCTACTAAATTAGCACTGCTAGAGTGCCTTCTGCAAAGACACTGCAACTCTCGCAGCACTGTTGGTACCTAGCAGCCAACATCAGTCATGTGGCCAAAGCTCTTCAGTCCAAGACCTCTAGGACTTAGGCTGTTGCTCTAATACTATGCTCTAATACTATGGAGCTCTAATACCTGAGTCAAACTTCCCCTGATAATAAGGAGAATGATAACATCAGAAGACTCTCCACTGATGAAATCCAGAGGGTGGGGATGTTTTCTGAACCTAAGTGAGAAGTCTTCTTCAGTGCAAACTTGGAAGAGAGTTTGACAGAGAAAAACTAAGTTTCTGAGAGCAGGATTCCCTGGAAAAGGCACAAAAGTGTTTTCCAGGGCTAGTAACAAGATGTGTTCGCACTTACTGTACCACTTGTTCATCAAGACCTGAATCAGCATAAAAGTGTTTCTAAAGTTCCATTAACTTTAATGGGAAGTAAGCAAGTGCTTAACAGCAATGGGCCCCAAAATAGCAGCCGGCAAAGAAACTCTCCAGCTCAGCACAGCAGTCAGACTCAGCCAAAACAAGAGCAGGGGAAGGAGCAAAGCCCCAGACACACTTCTGGGGGAAGGGACCACAGCAGCCAGCCCATGAAGAACCAGTCAGTGGGAGAATCATGAAGAACTAGTGCATCAAGAAATCGTTTCACTGATCGGCAGCCTTCTGTGTTTATTCATTGGATTTCCACTGGGAAATGGTAATAACAGTTGAAAAACTCAGGATATCATGTAAAAAGAAACTTTTACCATGGGCAAAATTCTGCTGCTGAAAGTTTTACTTGATAGGCAAGAAGAAAAATCATATTTGTATAGGATTCTGTTATTCAGTGTGAGGCTATTTTTGCTTTTTACTGACTTGAAAATCTTTTACCTTTCTCCTTTCAGAACTGCAAGCAGGCTGAAAAATCTCGGCTTTTTTGCACAACTTGGGCATTGTAACTTTGCTGACTTCACCTTGACCTAGAGCTGCTTTGACACAATAATTTATCAGCTGTGTAGCAAACTAACCAGTATGTCCATTAAATTTATGATACTGTTGCAGGTTCTTTGAAGCCACGTGCCTGGAAATGGCTTTCTTGTATGTAAAACTTGGGGCAAAAACTTTCTTGCAGTGCTCATTAAGAAAATCTCTTCTCTGTTAAG